CCCTGTTGGTTGCTTGACGTAGGGTCCAAGTCTCCTGGGTCTTGTTCGTTCCAAAAATCACGTTCCTGAAGATTTCATTCCGTTTTGGACTCCGTTTGATATTTCTTTTTTTCGAAGCCCTAAAATAGGCAAACAACAACAATTTTGGGCTGGGCCTCCGGTTAATAGGTTAGTCCCAAAAATAATATAAAAGTGGATAATAAAGCCCAATAATGTCCAAAACAGTAGATAATATAGCATGAAACAATAAAAAAATTATAGATACATTGAAGAAGTATCAATGCCCTAATTACAATAAGGGACCGAAAGAGGTTGTTGCCTATGTGGCACTTCAAAATGTGAACAGGGCGTTTTCCTCACATAGCATTGTTTGAAAATTTCCGAGATGGCACCATAGGATGGCGCCCAATCACTAGTCAAATTCATGCTCTAATTGTTTCCCAGAAACCTCAGCCTGCAATATCCTAACAAAATCTTGATGTAGCTAATCATGTGGTCTGGATTCAAACATAACCGCAGGAATAAAATAAAACTTATGCTCAAATTCTTCAGAACCAAACACCATGGGTGCATACTCCAAGGGTTTTTTTGTCAGGACAGTTTGCTACCTCTTGACCTAGTCCGGAGCCATCACACCTCAAAGGGGCGGATATTGCTCTTGGAATACCATTTTTATCTCACAATTGCTAAATGTAAGTCGCCTGAAAACAAAATTTGGGCCGGTCGGTTTTCGTAGGAAGGAGATAGCCGCCGGAGGGAAGGAAGAAGCAGCCGCCACTCGCTGGAGAAGCTACCACATGATCTATCTTAGGGTGTCAGGCTGACCCATGATCTATCTTAGGGGTGTTGGGGGTGAGATTTCAGCTCACCAGAAAAAATGGGTCATGACCGACAGGGGCGGAGCCAGACTAACAGTGGGCCCCAGACCTGCTTCATCGCAACAGCGTTCAACCGTGCAAAAAATGCTATAATCAATGAAGAAATAAATCCTCACGTCCCGGGCCTAGCCCCCCAGCCTGGGTCCTGTCTCCTCCACTGATGGCCGGTGTTAGAGGGATGACTAGGAGGCAGCAGCATGACAGTTGGGGGGAGGACTGGGCGGCGAGGCTGGCGTGGTAGTGTCGCCGGCGGTGGGCGGTGGCAGTAGACACTTAGACCGGCGTCGAGGTTGAAGAAGATGAATAGTAGCAATTTCGGGAGGTTGAAGAAGTTGATTTGGTCGTGCATCTTGCATCAGACGGCTCACAGCGACTTAGATCTAGTCATTTTTAGCAACTGATCTACTAGCAATTCCTGATGAAAAAACATTTATATTCACAGTCAAACCCACAAGTATTGCTAATATTTTTGGTCATTGGTTGGACGGTATTCCAAATAGATAAAACCTAACAAGGGTGGGAGTATATGCCTAAATGTGGTCGCAATTTCTATGTAGAAATAATTTGGGTTTTAATGACAAAAATGCTTCTCCTTTACAGGTTATTCTCCGGTGTATGCATTCACTTCGTACGTGATCTACGCTACAAAGAGCGGAGTACCAATCGTTGTTCAAGGCAGTGTGTACGCGGTTGAAGCATGCGGCTACGGAGGTTTTTCCCAACATGGGTGGCAGCATAACCCCCGGATTGACCCACCATCACTTTCAACATAGGCATAGTGTCGGTCTATAGGACTCTCGGTTTTGGTTCTTTTCTTTCTCTCAAACTTTTCGAAATTGGTTGTGTGCATTTGTTATGCAGAGGCCGGGTGTTACTCATAATGCTTTGTATCCGTTTGATGCTATATTTATATTTTTAGGTAATAAAAGCGCATCGAGAAAAAATTCCACAGCCAAACCAGCACACTCGGATCGAGCACATCAATCGACATATTTCTCCACACATTTCGACATCCGACCAGCCCGTGGAGCTCACTCAATCATGGTGGCTGACTCATATGACCACATGGAAAAGGCACGCTACGAACATGGCGAAAAGAATCGGCACGGGAGGACACTAGCACCCAACCGAGCTGACAGCCGCGAATCGCAAAGCGTACTCACTCACTCTCACGGTTCACTGAAAAATAACACCCAATTATTTTCGCCGAAAGAGACCACCCATGTAAAGGAAAAATGAAAAGTCCGGGAAGGCGCTGGATGGCACACATGGTCGCCGGCTGGATCGTTCGCCCACCGACCGACGTGGTGCATGCACGGCATCTTCCTCCGCGCTGTCGACTGCCAGCCCGTGCCCCCGCGAGCTAGCCAACAAGCCCCCCGCGCGCTCACGAGCAGGATACAACCAAAACGCCCCATCTCCGCCCCCTTTCTCTCTCTAAATCAGTGCTGCAACTAGCCAACTACAGTCGCAGATCGAGTTCTCCTCGTCGCTCCAGCCAATGCCCCCCTAGATAATATCTTATCAAGCCAAGAACGACGGCAGGGCTGGGCACGGCGCGGTATAAGTTCAGCTGCAGGCGGCCGCCGTCTCGATCGACACAAAGAGAGAGGGAGGGGGATCTGATTTTTTGAAGGGGATGGCGCATGGCAGAGGCGGTTCCCGGCGGCTGCATGCGCGTCTACTCGCGGTGGTCGGGCTCCTCGCCTGCGCCGCCGTCGCGCCGCGCTCCTCGGCGCTCAACGTCGGCCTCCAGACCCTCGACGCCGACGCCGACGGCGTGGTACGTGCACGATCTACGCATGTACTATAACCTACACTTCATAGCACGTTATTAAGCTGGGTATGCTTTGCTTTGTCGACTGATTCTCGGCGGCCGGCGGCGGCGGGGACGCGGACGCAGAGCAAGCAGCAGGCGTGCAGCCGAACGTGCGAGTCCGACCACTGCACGAGTACGCACGCGCATCAACTTCTTCTTCTTGATTAGAACTTAGAAGTAACTGCATGGTGGCTCACGCCGAGGTGTTTGTCGATGATCTCTTGACGCAGCGGCGCCCTTCCTCCGGTACGGCAAGTACTGCGGCATCCTCTACAGCGGGTGCCCCGGCGAGCGGCCGTGCGACCCCCTCGACGCCTGCTGCATGCACCACGACAACTGCGTCCTCGTCAAGAGTACGTACCCCAACAACCAATCGATCCATCAACTAAATTGTAGCCAGCGTCTGACTCTCGATCGGCACATCAGATGACTACCTGAGCACGGAGTGCAACGAGGGCCTGCTGGAGTGCCTGGCGGAGCTGCGGGCCGGCACGGGCACGTTCGAGGGGAACAAGTGCATGATCGACGAGGTCATCGACGTGATCACCGTCGTCATCGAGGCCGCCGTCGTCGCCGGCCGGGTCCTGCACAAGCCCTAGCTACATAGTACCACGGCGGCGCGCGCCGGAGCCGGCGAGCTGGAGGACAAGCAGCAAACAACTTGCTCGGTAGGTGGGTGGTGCATGCCTTTTCTGCTTGGTGTCACTCGTCAGTCACGGTGTGTGTCCGTGTCCTGTCACGCATGCACCGGCGCCTCACGTACAGTCTCGCGGGCACGGGCGTGACATGGTTGGTGCTTCAGCTAAGATCGACGATGGCGCCGGATTTTGCGACATGTATATGGGCATGGTTACCATAACCTGCTTTGCAGGATTTAATTTACTTGATTGATGAGTTGGTTCGTCTTTGCCAGTTTGCCTACACATCATGTGCAGCTCGTACGTGTTCATGTCACGCATAATTGGTAGTACTATACACTGTTGTTACCACTGTTCAAATTTCAGTGAATTTTGCTGCTTAAAGCCACTTTGAATTTTGGGGGTAATTTATAGATCAGTACTGTAATTTGTGTCGTCTGAATTATGTATAGAGCTAAAGCGACTTGTCCATTAATTGGATTATTATATTTGTTGATGTGATGGCGACGCCTTTCTGAGTGTATGGCAGCCGGTTCGATCTGCATGTAAGGTGATTAGTTTTGTAAACACTGCTTGTGCTTAGCTTAGACAAGTAAGGTCGCTATATGAACCAACCTATGGTTGAATGGTTAGATGGGCAGTGGTATCTTTAGCCCATCAGGGTTCAAATCCTGGTGACCTTCTTCCACCATCGCCAGCGTCTCCGCGCTGCCACCGTTTGGTGTCACCTCCTATGAGCCGTTCTCAGACCTCCCACACTTCACATTAGTATCTGCGGGTACTGAGTTAGGGTCTATGGAGACTAGTATCTGTGAGCATCCAATGTCGAGGATGCTGCGAGGCTTCTAGCAATGAATGAAGCGAGAGGTTGACCTTAGATGCTTAGGAGTGTTGCCGTAAGCATTGGAGGTGGAAGAATTGCCCTGCAACTTGGCATGCCCAATTCATTGTGCATTGTCATGATGGCATGATCCAACACCTATTCTATAAGCGGTTCCCTTTGTTGATTGTGGATTTGGTATTGCTACTTTGGGTTGTCTGGATCACATAACATAATGCCATCAATGTCTTGCAGAAATCTCATCTGTTTGCTAGGATAACATGTGGTACTTCTCTAGGATACAACTACACAGTGAATGGCCATTAGTATGACCAAGCTACTATCTAGCCAATCGCATCTGTCCATCTTGGTCAACATTTGCGGAAACAAATTCTATTCCTGTGACCAATAAACATGAACATTTCACAAAGACGCAAGAAGCAATGAGGAAGGACATGGATATACCTGGCCATACCTCAGGCCGGGCCGGGCTTTGGGCCGGGCCTAGCCAAGCCCGACGCAAAAAACCCAGGCCCGGGCCCGGCCCGGCCCGACCATCGTGCCTGTTTTCTGGGCCCAAGCCCGGCCCAAACATGGAAAAGCCCGTCGGGCTTCGGGCCGGCCCGACCCAGCCTGACCTTCAGAAAAGTGCAAAAACAACGGGCCCGGGCCCGGCCATCGGGCTCAAAATCTAGGCCCAAGCCCGGCCCGAGAGCAGCATCGGTCCGGGCCGGGCTGGCCGGGCCGGGCTTCCCATGGCCAGGTATAGACATGGAGATGGCATTTGGAGTGCAGCAAGCTAGGTTTGCAATTGTCTAGGGTCCTACTCGTTTCTGGAACAAGGTTGTCTTGAAAAAAAATCATGACTTGTTGTGTAATCCGACATAATATGGTCTTCGAGGATGAGAGGGATATGCCAAGCCCATGGATTATGAAAATGTTGGCACACCCGTCAGGCCTTGCTGGTACACAAACCACATTCAAGCATATCTTGAGGCGTGCCGAAAGATTGAAGACAGGGCCTCCCATGATCAGTTGTGTGAAAATAACATTAAACAAATGGTAGCAAACTGGAAGATAGTGTATTTATACTTCTTTAAAATTTATTTATTAATATTTGAACAAATTGTTGATTTGGATTATTTGTTCTATTCGGATTAATGGTTTGTAATAATATTTATTGAATTTTTTGATCTAAATCATACTCCCTGTGTTTCGAAATATTTGTCTTTCTAGAGATTTCAACAAGTGACTACATACAAAGCAAGAGTGAATCTACACTCTAAAATATCTCTACATACATCCGTATGTTGTAGTCCATTTGAAATGTCTAGAAAGACAAATATTTAGGAACAGAGGAAGTAGTAGAGAGATAGAAGAAAACAAAAAGGCAAAAAGTATGAAGGCTTATGGTAATCTTGTGTTTCCCCGCAAAAAGAGAATGGTAATCTTTTTTTTGAAATTCATTTCCCCACTTTATTAAACTAGATTAGGAAGTTTCTCAGAAACAATACTGAGAATACAATCTGGGGGAGCTAACTCCCACAAAACTGAAACTCCATTACATAAACCAAAACGAGCAATCTCATGAGCCGCTTTATTCGCTTCCCTCCGAAGCCAGGCAGCTTTGAACTCACCCAAGTTTGTGGCCATCATCTTGATCTCTTCCACCATGATACCAACTGACGACAGATTCCATCCTTGCTCATTCAGCACCCTGGCAACATTAAGACAGTCGGTCTCCAAATGGAGTTTGGGCACGCCTCTTTGCAATGCTAGTACGACCGCCCTCCGGCACGGCGGCAATTCCACCACTTCTGCCGTTGTAGTATCCGTTAGAAAGATAGCATCTGCACCTCTAAATGCGCCATCTTCATCTATGAACACAACTCCACCTCCACCACCTTGTCCCGACCGAGACGTAGCTCCATCGATGTTGTCCTTGAGCCAGCCTGGCGCCGGTGGTTCCCATCTTGCACGTTGGGTGGATGATGTCGAGGTCTCTGCCCGTCCCCGCACTCTCTTCCATTCTTCCATGAGAGCTGCTACTCTCCTCGCCACCATGTTCACCTCTTCAATTCGCTTTCCATCACGAGTGTCATTTCTTGCCAGCCAAATAGCATATAGGCCCTGAACCATCATTGACTTGTCGTCATCTGAAGCATCCTACATCCACTGAAGCATCCAGGATGCAATCGAACTCTGAGTGCACATCGATCAAGGTGGGGTCGCCACCCTCACACCCAATACCGAGCTCAACTCCTTCCAGAAAAGCATGGAATGATAGCAGCCCCAAAACCTGTGATACATTGTTTCTTCACGTCCACAAGCGGGACAAAAAACGCCGGGCTTGATTCTTCTACGAAGTAGTTCAGATCCCACCTCCAGGCCGTTCTTGATCAGTCGCCACACATGGATCAACACCTTCCCCGGCGCATTGGTGCCCCAAAGCGCCAGCCAACCCCGGTGGCTTGCCATCGTTGAGGACGAGCCACTCGCCTTCTTCTTTTCCATACATAGGTGATAAGCAGACTTCACCAAAAATTGTCCGTTCTTCGCAAAATTCCATGCCAAGATGTCATCTATACCCAGACCTCCCACAAAAATCTAAATAATATCATGTACGTCGCCCTCTGTGAACATTGCTTCCAGCTTGTGTCGATCCCACCCTGTAGCCTCGTCATTTAGTATATCGCTCACCCTCGTTATCCCCGGCACGTACACCTGGCCCAATGGCCTTAGGTTACCCTTGCGAGGGATCCAACTATCATGATGAATGCGGATGGTAGATCCATCACCCACTCTCCATATAAGTCCTTCCAGGAGCAGGTCCCTGATACGTCTCCAACGTATCTATAATTTTTGATTGCTCCATGCTATATTACCTACTATTTTGGACTATATTGGGCTTTATTTTCCACTTTTATACTATTTTTGGGACTAACCTATTAACCGGAGAACCAGCCCAGAATTGCTTTTTTTTGCCTATTTTAGTGTTTCGGAGAAACAGAATATCAAACGGAGTCCAAACGGAATGAAACCTTCGGGAACACGATTTTCTCATCAGATAAGACCCAGGAGACTTGGACCCTCCGTCAAGAAAGCCACGAGGCGGTCACGAGGGTGGAGGGCGCACCCCCTAGGGAGCGCCCCCTGCCTCGTGGGCCTCTCGAAGCTCCACTGACATACTCCTTCCTCCTATATATACCTACGTACCCCCAAACGATCAGAAAGGGAGCCAAAAACCTAATTCCACCACCGCAACTTTCTATATCCACGAGATCCCATCTTGGGGCCTGTTTCGGAGCTCCGCCGGAGGGGGCATCGATCACGGAGGGCTTCTACATCATCATCCAAGCCCCTCTGGTGAAGTGTGAGTAGTTTATTTCAGACCTACGGGTCCATAGTTAGTAGCTAGATGGCTTCTTCTATCTTTTTGGATCTCAATACAATGTTCTCCCCCTCTCTCATGGAGATCTATTCGATGTAATCTTCTTTTTGCGGTGTGTTTGTTGAGACCGATGAATTATGGGTTTATGATCCAGTCTATCTATGAATAATATTTGAATCTTCTCTGAATTCTTTTATGTATGATTGGTTATCTTTGCAAGTCTCTTCGAATTATCAGTTCAGTTTGGCCTACTAGATTGGTTTTTCTTGCCATGGGAGAAGTGCTTAGCTTTGGGTTCGATCTTGCGGTGTCCTTTCCCATTGACAAAAGGGGCAACAAGGCACGTATTGTATTGTTGCCATCGAGGATAACAATATGGGGTTTTTATCATATTGCATGAAACTATCCCTCTACATCATGTCATCTTGCTTAAGGCGTTACTCTGTTTTTAACTTAATACTCTAGATGCATGCTGGATAGCGGTCGATGAGTGGAGTAATAGTAGTAGATGCAGGTAGGAGTCGGTCTACTTGTCTCGGACGTGATGCCTACCTAGATATTCTCATAACTATGCTCAATTATGTCAATTGCTCAACAGTAATTTGTTCACCCACCGTAGAATACTTATGCTCTTAAGAAAAGCCACTAGTGAAACCTATGGCCCCCGGGTCTCTTTCTCATCATATCAATCTCCATCACTTTATTATTGCTTTGCTTTTTTACTTTGCCTTTTACTTTTCACTTTGCATC